CAGAACAATACCTCCCCTTTTATGAAAAACCCTCATACAATAAGACTGTCTATCTACTGTGTCCTTTATCACTCTTACCACTTAATACTGCTATGTGCAGTCAAGTCAAGTTGGTCCCAAGCAACATTTAGCACCATATGTGAAGCTACTCCAAGTATTGACCGCATAACCCAACCTTGCACCTTGTGTGACCTCGTGTATGGTGTGTGTTGTGTGTGTGTGTGTGTGTGTGTGTGTGTTGTGTGTGTTGTGTGTTGTGTGTGTGTGTGTGTGTGTGCCCCAGGGGCTCAGAGCAGTAAGGCCATACAGCCGTCCCATAAATTCATTTCCCTGCTCTGTTCCCAGTTACTTCTGTTCTCGTTTACAAGCTTCACAATTAATTTATAATTGCGGCTTCATTTTTAACTCAGCTGAACCTGCCTTGAAAGACAAGGAATTCTAAACCAGATATGAACGTGAATATGCACAGACATACACACACACACACACACCGAAAGAATCCCACCTCCACTTTGCTAAGGCACAATTACCCGGAAACCACGTGCAAAGGTTCTGTTTGCACTGTTAATCAAAAAAGTGCTTCTAACCAAGTTAGTGGGCGAAGTATTTATGCATATAGGCGGGGAATTAAATGTCCGAGTGAATACAGCTGGAGCCCTGCGGCAGATAGGTTGAATACAATCTGAAACTTCCTTTATTGCATCACACACAAATCTCTATAAATGTGTCAATTAATGGCTCATTTCCCAAGCCTTTCCTGGCTCATAGCGCACACGCCTGGCCTAAAGGACAAACCCAGCATAAAGGATTTGATAAGTGATATGGAATATTGTGCGAACTGTGTTGCACCGGTATGTAAGTGTGCAGTAAGTCATCTCCATGCGACTCGTCTAGCCCATCTACAGAAGGTCAGGGCTGTGAGAGGTCCTAAGGGGATGTTGGGAATGTCGAGGGGCCACAAAGCTACACGAAGAGGACGCCGCTCATAGTTCTTCCATATCAGGTCACTCAAAAACACAACACACTGGCACACCACCAAACAGCGCTACGCTAATGAGCACGTGATTGCTTTATAATTGAAGCCTTGCATTGGTCAATGAGTTTAAGTAGCTTAAATTTTCCTAGAAACATCCTGACCTTTACAACTAAATGTAATAAAAACAAGCTCAGCCAATTATCGTAACATGATTGGAAGTGATGTCACGAACCAGAAAACGTTAAGGTGTCTGTCAGACCTCCTTCGTGTTTATCTTTTCTCGCAGTGGATGCACTTATTTTTGTGTATATTTGCTTGAATCTATTTATATATACTTGGCTCGTACCTCATCGATGTACTCTCTGGGAAGAGGCGCGCCTGCTGACACCTAAAAAACACACAAAGAAAACAAATAATCAAATTATATCACATCCAATGTATTTTGTTACTTTCCATCCAGTTTCTTGGACACACTGATGAATTTGTAATGCAGAACTGCTGTTTTCTTGACTTTTTAATGTTTCCAAGTAAAATCCTTCAAATACTGCTATTAATTGGGGCATTCATTTCAGTTAATGGGATGCAGACCAATAAATAAATTAATTAATTCTATGCAGATTTCCATAATTATTTTTAATTGTATGAATCATTCAAGTACATTTCTTTCACGGAGGAATGCACTAACATCTGTAGCCCGAGCTTTCAGAAATACAATCTTGTCCTTAAATGCCCTGTTTGTACTTAATGTTTGGAATGGGAACTTACACTTTAGGTAATCCACATCATTGTTTCCCAACCTAGGCTCAGGGGACCAGCCGGGGTCCTTGAAGAAGTTTCAAGGGGTCTCCAGAAAAATGTGGGATGTTTTGATTTTACCATTATTTAATTAAATTAGCTTTTTTTTTTTTTTCACTGTTAATCTGCTAATCTACACTATAGGCAAATCCATGTCCTGTGTATCAATTTGGGGGTTGAGAGCTTACATTTGGGCCTCCACCGTGCATCTTTAACGCTCGCACAGTTGCAACCAGCACCACCACATTTGGCCTCAGCCCCGAAGCCCGACACTTGATGTTGAAAAACTTCTCCATCCCGATGTCTGCTCCAAAACCAGCTTCTGTCACTGCGAGGAAACAGAAAGGAAGTTTTTATAAATATTAATACTGATTTTTCTATCTTTTTTAGGAATTACTAAATAAATGTTTGCACCAAATCACAACTGTAACAGCAGCACTGGTAAGAAAAATTAAAATAGGTATGCTGGCATAGGCTTGAGCCAGTCATCTATCTACATTAATCTCTTTGTTTAATACCTTTTCACCTCAAAAACAACTTTATACACACACGTGAGTTCAGCCAGACATCTTTAAAGTATCCTGTGAATAAGAGGAGAGTCTGACTGTGTTTCTGTCTGAACAGTAACTCTGTACTGAGAAATAGGTTCACTGTGAGGGCTTTTTAAGAGACAGAGGGCCTCTGATATGAACAACCCTACACACAGGCCTCTTGAACAGGATCCAAACAAAGCAAATAGTCCACCTGGAATGACGGCCTTGTTAAGATAAGGTTTCCTGTTACTTGTTGTGTGTATGTGTGAGGGAGTGTGCGTATATGTGTGTGGCACCACTGTACTAAAACTAGAGGGAAGACTTAAGGTTGATTTCACACCTAACTTGTTTAGTGAGGTTTTAACAACTACTGCTGAATTTTCCCAATTTAGCGCAGTCTGTTTAATCTGGTGGGAATAATAACAATCACCAAAAAAAGCTGGGCTTTCAAAACTGCATCTAATTTCACTTTATGTGACGTGACATACTGTTCCCATCCACTTTTTCTAGCTGTCAGTCATTATTTATTACAAATGAAGTCCAGTTTGAGTATCAAGCTTCACAAGCCTTTTGTGAACACCAGCAAGGACAAATAAAGCCTTCAACTTCATAGGAATAAAATTAGTTTTGACTTTCTCCAATAAGTCCATATAATGTCTAGACCACTCTACATCCAAGTGATACATTGGAAACAGCTGAACCCGAAGTAACCTCAAACTGAAATGCTAAAATAATCATTTTTGAGGGTATAGTCCAAATGAACCACATTCCAAGTGTGGATCTTATAATGCTGTTTCAGGGTTCGCACTCTTTTTAAGAAATAATTTTCCAGGAAATTTTCCAGAAGTTTTTCTTGACAATTGAGGACAGTACTTTGCTTTTAAACAGTCATATATTTTACTGGTAGGCCAGGCATTGACTTTAACTCCAGTTTTATGCTTCCTCTTTTAATGAGTGTTTCAGGTTCCTTACGATGCCTGAAAGGATGGCTGCCAATCTGTTCCACTCCACATCTGGACTAGACTGACCGACATGGCCAAAATGAAAAGGGAGTGTTTAAAACGTTTTTCTGTTCCGCTTCATGTTTGGTTAATCCACTTTGAAGTGTTATATCGAGAAGCTACCGTCGAGTTTCAAACAAAATATGCACCTAGGTTTATGTAGCCGATCTGAGCGAGGGGCTAAAATACAATAAACATTTATCAGGACAATATAGATTATTTACAGGAAATTTGGTCATTTTAATCAATTTCTAGGTGTTGCCATGCGTGGACAACTAGTCTCTGATATTCCAGATTTTCCGGGATGCGTGAGAACCCTGCGGTTTATAACACTTCAATTAATGTACTCGGATTTAAACTGAAACCAAAACATGAATCTTACCTAAAAAGGTCAACTTCATATCCTAAGACCAATAAAACGTTTCCAAAATGAAATTGCTATAGTTGCTATACTTATTATTAGTTGCTATACTATAGTGGTTGCAACAAGGAGATTCACAGAGAGAGAGAGGAGGTGAAGCATCGTACAGTTATGTAAGAACTAGACAATGCTAAAGGGAAAAAGTGTGAAAGGGTGGTTCGGTTTAACAGAGGGTTTTGTATGAATACAATCATTTCATTATTAAGTTATATCCCAGTAGAGCATCAGTTGCTCACTACGACTAAGGAGCGGGCCAAAATATTACTCACTCTGATCATCTTCCCTGAATTCCCGGGGAAGTCCAGCACAACAGTTTGCACCAAATGCAAGTCCAAAGCAGTTGCATTCACCTTCTGTCTGTATAATCTACGTGGGCAGCCTTTGTACAGGACACAGTGACCAACAGCTAACCCTCTTAAACAGTTAATTCAATTAAAAAGGATAATAATGAAATGTGACTAGGAAGCATGTCGGGAAACTAATTAAATTAATGTGATAAATTATGTGCATGTCTTTTTACACGCTTCTGTACGTGCACGAGAGTGTGCGCGCAGATTTAATCTATACAGTAAATGCACACTTTATCGAGTGCCGTTAAGCTGTCACAGACACAAGAATGATTTGTATCAGTTTTATTAAAGATGATTATGTTATTGATGTAGATGGCAAACTTAAAGAAAAAAAAAATACTGAAAATATTCATTGTTTGTTTACAAGAGAACATTATACCCTGCAGCTTATTGTGCTTGTGGCTGACACTTGATGAAGCATGTCTCTCTGAGGATTTAGTGAGAAAGCAAGTGTTTCCAAGAAGAAATGTGTCACTCTGCTGTGTGTGGTTTCTCTGCATTACTAGTAAAAATATGATTTATTTCAAGAGTGAAAGGACTGCGAAGGAGGAGAGACAGAAAGAAAGAGAAAGCCAGTGGAAATTCAATTAGAGAGACAAGGATATTGTCTGGGGAAGAAAAGAAGAGGAAAGGATTTAAAAGGAAAAAAAAACTAATTTTATTACTTTACAGTTTCTGGGAATATAAATGACAATGTTGATTTTAAGCAGACATTGTGGTGGTGGTGGTGGGGGGTCTTTATCTTAACAAGTCTCTTTGTGCAAAGAGCAATAAATAAAGCCTGAGGGATGAGCACAACAATATAACTACACTTCATTTGACCGCAGGCTGCTGACAGAGTGCAGTGTTTCTCGTTAGCGCCACACTTGAGATTTGGCTCTGAATACTGAACCAACTTGCCAATGAAAATCACATTCATAGGTAAGGGGATTTGTGGATATTTCCATAACTCGTGTGATCTCCCACAGACTGAGCCCAGGACAACTCATGCCACAATAAGGCCCAGCAAAGCTATACAAAAACAAAGAGTATATAATGACAGCGAGTCCGACGTGGCTTTTACACTATGGCATTACACCGAGCAGGAGAATGACCCCAGAGGATGTCATGAGGAAACACTTGCATGCTTCCTGTTCTGTGCGACAACCTTGAACTGTCCCGAGAGCAAGAGGGGGAAGAAGAGGTCGGCGTTGTTGCGAGTGAAAAGAGAGCTGAATGATGTAGTCAGAGCACTGGTATCAGCACCCCTGCCAATAAAAACACTAATAAAATGGCTGGAAAGTAGGCTACATAAACATGACCATCTACTTCCTGTTAGAGCTTTCCACAATGAGCCGTGTTGTACTTGTGCTATTGATTATTTCATTATTGTTAATCTGTTGTCTGTTATTATTTCAATGAATCAATCCTCCACTATTTTGCAGACCCTAAGGTGTTTTCAAATCGCTTTTTTTGTCCGACACAACAAAGATATTCAATTTACAATGATATATAACCGAGAAAAGAAACAAATATTTAAATTTGAAAAGGCCCCTTTTTCTGTACTTTTTACCTTAACCTTTATCTTAAATGATTAATTGATAATAAATATGATTGATAATATGAATTATCTCTTACCCAACTAATCAATTAATCTATGCATTATGTCAGTTTTAATTCTAAATTCTTAACATCATACTATGTGAGGGCTGTAATTAACATGGATTTACAGCTGCATTAATGCTCCTGTTTGCATTTTAAAATGCTGATTCTGATTTACTAATCAGAGCATGAATGCACATTTTAGACAGAAATCTAGGAAGGATAATATTTAGAATAATTTAAAGGCAATTTGACTATATTATATAACACTAGAGTGATCATTGTGTCTTTTAAAACCAACAGTATGTCCATAAGTCACTTTTAAGTTTAAGACAGCAGGAACTGTAGAAATCTTAAGATGTGGAGTCAAAAAGCGTGTATACCTTGAAATGTTTTAAATACTGAATGAATCCAAATTTTCTCAGAGGCTGGTTCTGTGTTGGTATGACCCAACTTTTGGATGTCGTACTGGTGACCAACATACAAACACATAGATCGATAAAACATTCAACACACATAGAATAGTACTTTTAGACTTTAGGTTTTTTAACCAGGCAAAATGTAAAATGATGATATTCTGAAAATGATAAGGTTTAGTATAATTACATTGCATAATTTAAGTGAAATGTGTGCACCTAAATGTGGTAAGTAGTTATAAAAGCCATAAGAACTAAATTAAAAGCCGAACTGAAAAAGAACTGGAACTCCTGTCACTTCTCTAAAAGCCCAAATGATGTGTTACTTTAGGTTTAAGGGAGGCTTTGTAATGTGGGAAATATACAGTATCAGGGGGTTATCTACATTCACTACAGGTAAAGTACAGATACAGTAATCCCTCACATCTGGAATGTGGAATTCATCCCTCAGCAGCCCTTTCCAATAGCAGCATTTATCCATTTTAAGTCCAGATTCCAAAGTGACTTAACAAACCCACAATAATACAGAGCATGATGAAGCATGGCCACGACTGTGTTCATACACCCCCCCACAACCCCCACCGAGTTCACAAAGAGTTCAAGTACTTCCCTTTGCCATGAGGGGAGCTTCCAGAGATAACTAATCTGAATTATATATTACTTACAATAAGGTGTGGTTACATCAGGTTCAGTAATTCCAGTTTATTACAGTTTTGGTCTAATTGTTGTATTTCTGGACATTATTTTATAAGTATCCTTACTTTTTCTATAATAACATTGCACTCATCAAGTTGATTGCTGAGATCTGGGAATGCAGAGACAAAGACAAAAATGATAATGGGGAAAGAAACAATCAGGCGATCATTTCATAATTCTGATTTTCCATATTGTTAATCTGTCATTTTGCCCAAACTTCCTTTGGAGGACCAAAACTGAAACTTAATGATGGTCCAAAAGCAAACACTTATTGTATTGTATTGTTAAGATGCAAAATGGTACTAAAATCCCAAGTTCCCTAAATCGACTGACTTCCTGAGTGTCACTCTGTTTTCATTGTGCTCAGGATGTAATAACTACAGATACTTATTATAACTAATTACATCAGTTTGTCTTTGCTAGAAAAATCTGACAGGCCGAATTGAAGCTTATGGGCCACTTTGAGATGCCCTGGTCTAATCTCTAAACACTAACTGTATTGCAAACACGTCTGTCCTAGCAAAGGGATGCTCTGTTGCTCTTCTTGAGGTTTCTTGCTGAGTTTTTCTTTATCTGAATTGAGAGTCTCAGGATACAAGGTGTCAAATGATACAATTGTAAAGCCTCTTTAAGCAAATATGTGATTTGTGATATTGGGCTATATACATAAAACTGACTAATGCATTTATTGTTTTAGAAGCACTTGGGTTCAGTGGAAACAAGCTGTAAACACAATACTGACATATTATCTTATAAAGTTGATATGGCAAAAGTGTTAGCAAGCATCTGCTTATTTACCAATCAAACACGCATGAAGCAACACTAGCATTCATTTGGAGTTGTGTTTCTGGCCTCCTGGCATACATAAGTCCATAGTTGGTTTTTATAGATTCTTTGCTGAAAAAAGCTGCCTGCTGTGTCTGGAAACAAGGTTGATGACACCAGTGAGAGTGAACCAAAACAGTAAAGTTCTGAGCAGTGAAACCAAAACAATGAGCTGAAAGTCGCCACCTACAGCTGTGGAGAACCTGGCGGATGGTTTTTCTTGTGTTTATCACTATGAACGACCCTTTTTACATCACAGACAGCCATTTCATCCATTGTTTATATAAAAATATTAATTAAAACAGCTTTAAAGAACCACAAATGATTACACAAACAGTCCGTCCAGTTTTCCATGCGTAATGAGGGATTATTGACGTCCTTTTGAGTGCGCTTTCCGTTTTACCTCCAAATAAAGGCGTTCAGACAGGACAAGGAGTGAGCTGTCAGACAATAAGCCAGTTTAGATAGACTGTCAGACTTTGTTAGGACGTCATCATGTTTCAAGATCTTAGCAATTACTTTGGTGAGTACAATGTTTTCATAACCAGTAGAAATTACCAAAAAGGAAGAAAAGAAAACAGGATTATACTTTAACTTAATTATAAAACTAGATCAAAGAAAATGATGACTTGTTGTTCCAGACTGTATGTGCAGAAATATTAATTTTCCTAACTCCGCTGTCAAGTTACTATTCTTTTAAGTGGTGCCAGTTAAAAGAAGTCAAAGTTTGTAGCATCAGAGAAAATATCTTGAGAGAGATGAAGGGAGCAAGGGGGGTTCGAGGGGGGGGTACATGCATCCCAGCTGCCGAAGGAGGAAAAAAGGAGGGAGGTCGAGTTCCTAGCATACCTGAGAGTCAGGTAACAAACACACAGACAGGGAAGCGAGGGTACGAGATGGACAGATGGAAAACAAAGCGGGGTGTAGAGGTGGAGGTATAAAACGCATACAAGACTTCCTGATACTCTACTCCAGTGTTGTGAAACCCAACTCTCTGCTCACGCTGCCTACACATTTGCCCAGCTCACAGATGACAGTCTGTCTCAGAAGGAAAACCTTCACAGCGAGAGTGGCGTGTACATCAAATGCACCTGACAAACCCCACAAACTCAGCAACACACACTCGTACATTCCACACATATTTCTGCAGCCAAAGTAAATGAAAACAGAAAGAGAGCAGTGGGAAAGATAGACAGATAAAAAGGGAAGTACTCAAGTATGCTTTGACGTTGGAGGGATTAGTGTGGTTTACTCTAAAGCATTCCAGGGGCTCTTAAGATTATCAATCAGCTTCCTTCCTCTCTGTCCTGTGTTTTTTTTTTACGCAATCTTTCCACCAGTTTCCTAGAAAGTTACGCAGCAGCAAGACATCACAGCAGCACACCAGTCGGTCAGAGGCACGTAGAACAGAGCCAGAACCAGAACTGAGATGAATGTAGGCCAAAGGTTACAACAGCAGGGGAGCGAGCTTAAATTCACGACTGGAGTAAATAGTAAATTATACAGTACATGTATTCTGCCCTGCTAAGGAAGAATATGCCTTAAATTCCTCCACATCTGGGTCTGTCATCTCCAGAGGTTTTGTGGCTGTGCATCTGCCTTGTCTTGTGCATGCGTGTGTGTGTGTGTGTGCTGTTTTGTGTGTGTGTCTGTGTGTCTGTGTGTGGTGTGTGTGGTGTTGTGTTGTGGTGGTGGTGTTGTTTGTGTGTGCGTCGTGATCTGTACTCGCTTGGACTGAGGTGCACTTACCACAAAGCCGTTCCGTCCAAACCAACTTCAAGCCAGCTTGTCCGCCCAGCACCGAGGAGGTTTGCCATGGGCGATTGGTTGGCAAAGGGCCAGCGTGGACAACCACACTTTGCGTACCCTGCAACAATCCGGAGGGCACAGCAAACATGCACGGAGGATCAGAAAACAGCGTAACCCACAGCAACTCACCCAACCCCGAAGTTTCAATAAGGGGCTAACCAGCGTCTTTCGATACGTAGGTTGTGAAGGTCGTTTGTCACGAGAGCACCAGAGGTGAGGAGAGACGTGTGAAGTGGATATGCTCTTGTGGGCGGTGCACTGGGCGCCGCGTTTGTCGAACAGTAGGCGCCCACAAGTCTCAAGAGGTACTCCCTGCCGGGGCACGCCAGGCCGACTGTGGCCAGGGCGCTTACCTTCCCCCCTGCTGATTTGCTGGACACCACACACAGCACACCACAGCACCAACACACACACACACCACGCAGCCACACACACACACAGCAGCATCACACAGCACCAGCACACACACCACACACACACACCACAACCACACCACACACACACACACACAAAAAGAGCACATTAAGTGTCTTGGCAGTACAATTACTTTTAGATGATATTTACAACACAACTCTGAACAATACTACTATAAACATAAATGTGAAAAGGTATCATTTTTAAAAGCAGACTTTTGACAGTCAGGCCTCGTAGTTTGAATGTTTATGCTGAACTCAACCTTGCTAGTAACCTGAGTTCAGAAGATCTACCTCTATATCTGGAATAATCACTTAAATCTTAAAATAAATTAAACATGGGTCGAAATATGGTAATTTCCAAGTTTTTCATAAGAGACCCAAAGAGAAATTAGCTCAAAATGTCAAGCAGAGGATGGAAGGTGGTGTATGTGGACGTGTATCCATATTTAGGAGTACTGGGGAAAAGTTGTTAAACTAAACTAAACCCAACAGCGCTGCAACATACGTCCTGAATTATTCAGAGATATTTTGCTGTGAATCCAGCTTAACAAGGCAGGGCATCTAAGGGTACGGTTGCCAAGGAAAGGTCTACTCCTCAACATCACAATGCACGCATGACAGACTTTAAAAAAGGAACTGAGAAATCTGGTCAAGAAGAAAACGCCAACTGACCCATTGTTACACTGCATGTGAATTCCTTGAGTGGGAGGAAATGGGAAGGATGGGAAGGACTTGCATGATTTTCTAAGCTTTTGTTTGCATACCTCTCCCTCTGCTTGCATAAACAGCCTCCCCTCAGGAGGACTAAATCAGCCATTCAACGAGGCTCTGACAAACGCTGCCGCTTGTCTATTAGTCTATGTAAACCAGTAGTACAGATTACAGAAGCATCTAACGACATACAGAGAAAGGAGGGAACATATGAAAAAAGAGAGGCAGGTAAAAGGTAAAGGAGAAAAAGAGGGCACAATATAACAAAAAACATCCTTCAGTAGAGATATCGATTCAATCACATGTCCATTTGTTTATTGCAATTGACACACGTCATACATCACATGGGTTTCCATGTGTGTTTGCAACTGCTGAACTTTAACTTGACCCACTTCACACCTCAAACTCTTTCCACATCCGTACATGAGGGGAAGTGATTCAGGACATAAAAAAGAAAAATCCACAACAGGGTGATGAAAGTGGAAATAAATGAAAAGTCGAGTCAAGGGTGTCACCTCTTCAACTGGTGGACAGGAGGATTATGAAAACTGGAGAAACGAACGAAAACAGGAAGATGGAGATCATGTCACCGTTTCCTCTTCTTGTGCATCTCCAGTGCATCTGTCCACTACACCAGTTGCAGACCAGTGGCACACTAATAAAATGTTCCCAGCCTAGATATTCAGACAAAGATTTAAGCCTGAGAGCCACTGACTGTCTCTCTATGTTATTGTCTGCCTTTCCCTGGGAAAGATGCATGGAGTCGGTTCAGTGAAACTCCACGTAGACAGGATGTTTGAAAAACGCACAGAATGACTGAGGTCTGCCTAACAGACACGTACATAGCGAGTGAGTTCAAAAACTATCCCTTTTCCTCTTTGGCTACATCCCCTCCAAACCCTGCCTCATCTGAAACAACACAAAAATACATGCTCTAACACACACACACACACACACACACACACACACACACTAGCTTCCATATGCCAACTCTGTTCTCTCCTGCCTGTGTTCAAAACACGCAATCACAAGCGATGAGGGCATAAAGGGCACAGGCGGTCAAGCTCGATGGAAAGTTCTCATGGAGCTTTGAGGCCCAATCGGTCCCAATTCCAGTTCCCTGACCAGAATCACAGGAAACCCACACAGGAAATGGTTTCACACAACAGGGCCGCAATGCTTCCTCCAAAAAAACAGAGTAACCAAATCTCTGCTGCATGCAGCACTCCACCCCCTGTACACCCATCAAAACACCCAGTCTGTGTTTATTTTCCCCACCCAATAGCCATGTAATCAAGCTTTCTGTTCAAAACCAACAAAAGGACAAACAAACGAAAAATAGCCCAAGAAGAAAAACACAAAGCTGTTAGCAGAAGCATGACTGCTAACATTGTGCTCCTTGTAAACTGTAATGACTTAAAATCAGACCAACAGGAAAATACAAGTAACAGCAAACCCTTGACCCAGCACCCAGTGTCTCAGGCTCAAAGTGAGAAATGCGCACAGTGAGTGTGTCTACATCAAATATAAACCAGACGCCTCCCTCGCCTCCATGTACAGACTCCAGCACAAGACACCAGAATGATAGTGTATGCCTACTCACACAATGTGCACAGGAAGTAAATGATACCATCCCCAAGGTTGATTACGGTCTACAATCTCATCCATTAATGGAGCAGCTTTCTATACATTTGCTGCTTCCTTTAAGTGGGCTTTGGCTGTACCATAAAAAAAGGTCCAAATATTAAGACTATATGTTAATTCAGGCTATTAAATCTCCATTTCTCCATCAATCACCTTGAGAGTTTGGCTTTTTTCTTTAGCACAGGGACAGCTTTGGGTCACTGATGGTACTGTAGTGCGTTTGTGTCTGTGCGATCACGTCCATTTGTCTTACTGTAATGTCTCAAAATCAGAATGAAAGCCAGATGTTGTGCGAGCACAGTTGTGGCTTAAGTCGTCACACCAGTCATCAAACGGTTTCCATGAGACGGTATGAATCTGGATGGGCTGGCCTGTTGCCTGAGAGCTCCACCTGCCCTTTACACACTGCTAAACTGCTATTAAGATAAAACGCTATGGGAAGAAAAGGTCAATCTATCATCCTTTCTTAAAAGCTCTCAGTGGAGCACTTTCTCCTTCTTTCTTTTGACAGCTGAGGTAGAGGTACTGTAAGTCTAGTGCACACTTTCAATGTCCCTGTGGACTGCCAACCTATTTATTCTACAAGATATTCACCAGAAGACGCTCAGTTGAGCAGGGTAATGACTATTTAAGTAGGGTCATGTGCGTGTCTCACCTCGAGGGTCTGCATCAACGTGGGCTTGATGGCATCTTTCATTAACACCGCCAGAGCTCCACTCACACCCTGAGAGGGAGGAAGAAAGAAATATGAGGGAGGTGGTTGGAAACAAGAACAATTTATCAGGATTCAGACAGAGATTTAACCTCACTAATGCAAACAACTGATATTTATGTAAAGAATGGTCAAATGGTTGTCTACCACAGGAGAGGAATGGCACTACAGACCATTTGTAGGTCTCTCTTCTTGCTTTTACACTGCAAGTGAAGCTTTCTTTCAAAAAATATGCCCTGTCAGCAACCTGAACACACACATATATTATACACCATATTCTCACTGGGACTGGCTCTGAGGTGTGGTGAGGTTTTTGCATCCAGACTAATCAGAAAGACTAGTGTAACTTTATAGGGGATCCTCCTCTACGGCTCTGAAACAACACAGGCCGCAATCTTCTGTGGGAAACCAGAGCCAGCTGACCTCACAGATGGATCTAGTGAGAGGTGCAAAAACTCTGCTTAACATCGTAATCGCAGGTTACACCTACATTAGACATGTTGTTTTTAAGAAGCAAAGTGGTGGAAGTGGGGATTTGGACATTTTTAAGCCGCATGTTAGACTGAATAATGACAATGAGGAGTCATGTTTTGTACTTGTGTCGCCCAAAAAAAGATTCAGTTTGGTACTAAATGTAATGTATGTGTTGTTGTGAAGATGTTTTCTTCACTTGTACTTTGTCTTTTTCTTTGTGCTTTCTTAAGGTGCAGTGCGTTAAGCTCTCTTGCCCACTACAATGTTATTGTCAAATGGGATCTAATAAGCTGTCAAATCTCAAAATACTCTTTTCTCCCGGGGTTGGAAAAACCAGCATTCACACCACCACAGGTTCTCCTGCCAAAAACGTAGGACAGTTTGATACATAACACACCTAAACTTCACACTTGCATGATAATGACAGAAAATGTTATCATTTAACTGAACCAAGGAGGAGAAAACTGGAATTGACTAAATACTTTGATTGTGTAAAGTCTGAGATGTAGTCATGGTAAGCCAACAGTGAGATTTATCAGGTTTAAAATTCCCACACTCTCTGAATCAAAGGACCACACAGTAACACACACCAGGTCCTCTGCGGTGACGGGCTGTCCGGAGTGGCTGGTCCCCACCACCATGCGTGCCAGTCTGTTTTTCATGTCCTCCAGGCTGTCTGCCAGAGCCAGGATGGCCATGATCTCGCTGGCCACTGCAATGTCGAACCCGGTCTGGAGTATGAGAAAAGGAAAATTATACACAATGTAAACCACAAGGGCAACAAATTGAAGTACTTGTTCAGTGGCCTGCAGCTGGTGAATCTGTGAACATTCAATGTGATGCAAATCAATGTGTTTATACTAAAATAAATGTGGCTGTTTTTAAAAAAGTGGTGACCGCTTTGTAAAAAATAATAATTCTGAAAGTGAATGAAACGTCTCATCCCTGACTCACATTATAAGACCACAATGTGGGAGGAACACTGGCAACTTTCCACAGTGACTGGCAGACAAGAGATTATCTACACACCATAGTCACCAGCTTTATCACATGGGCAAAACAATACAAGTCTTATGAACACGACCTAGTTTTGGAGTGATGACTTAGGATAAGAAATTAAATTATGAACATGTTAAACTAATTTTTTATGTAACTTTCCGTATTGATTTATGTCAAACTAACAGATAAAGAGACAGAGAAAACGACTGGGAAAATGACTGAATGTGGGCTATCCACAGGATAGACTATGGAAAACCAAAGTAGTCTCCGTTCCACGTCACCAACAAAAGAAACATAACTTAAACCACATAAATCCACTAAGGAACACAACATTTCTATTCCCATTCCCAGTGATAATACCCTGAGGGGCTATAGTGTATCCAGCGCTGGAGGAAGGTGGAGGACAGAGGAAGGGAAAGGGAAACTGATGGCTTTAAATGTAAGCATATGCTGAACTAGCTCAGAGGCTGTTCCAGGTGTGTGTGTGTGTGT